TATATGCAATCTTTCTTTTATATATTACAAACATTGAAGGAACTACTGTGAATTTAGTGTTCATCTTGTTGTGCTAATGAGGTGTGGCAACTTGGACCGATGCACATATGTGCTTGGTCCTACATTGTAGCTGACTGACTTACTGAACAGTAATTATAGGATAAACCATGTATTACCGAACTCTCGAGCCTCCTACTCGTCTTTTATTGGTGATATAGTTACTATAGATGTCTATGTTTATGATATTTACATTATATACATATATATATATATATATAATACGGGATTTGAATCGACAAGTGCATCTCTGTGTTAATGTGGTGTGGCAACTCGAACTGATGTACGTACGTACGAAGTTCTACGTTGTTACTGACTGACTGACTGATTTACATAATATTAGATTGCTTATGTTTTCGCTGTCGCAAATTAGGTTATCAATGTCTCGATGTTAAACTTTATTCTATAAAATTATTCTGAGTTTTAATTTTAATCTGTTCGCAGCCGATTAAACGGTACAAAATAAAATAATTTCAATTCTGCCAACAACCGATCGCACTAATATTTTTCACTCTTGGCGTTTGATGGACATAAGGCATCTTTGACTTCACGGGCTTAATTGCAGTCACGTGTTAGGCGCCGTCAGTAGTTAGTAATAATTTTTTTAAAAAGAACGCTGGGTAACTGGCATGCTTACTACACAACTGGTTAACTGTAAAACGAACTAAATGGTTTCAAGATTATACTCTGCCTACGAAGCGCTGATAAGACTGTTGTGGAAGGTCCCTTACTTTCCAGTCACTTAGCAAACAATAAAGTATTAACTATCTCCCAGTTGGTAAAACTGACAGCTTTTACCAGTAACCTGCTACTGTTTCCATAGTTATGTTGTTCAGATGAACTGGGTGTGACTTCTTCAGGGATGTTTCATATTTATATTTCCAAGTGACGGAAGTCACCAAAAAGGTACTGATAAAACCTAATGCCTCAGTCAGTCAGTCAGCTACAACGTAGGACCAGGCACATATGTGCATCGGTCCAGGTTGCCATACCTCATTAGCACAGCAAGATGAACAGCGGATTCATAGGAGTGGTTAGGTCAAAGGTTGCAATAAGGATATAGTATAGGAAGAAAGAATTAGTTCGTAGACAGAAAGAATGAAGTGATTTTAGTCTCTTAGTTTAAAAGAAGACAGGGAGTGTATACACCGACGCCATTGTGATCGATTCTGAGCCATGTCACCAAGAGTCTCCAACCATTGGTTACGAAAGTCACGCGGACCCCAACCAAGTAGTCTGCATCTACCAACAAGGCTCAGACTAGAAGTCAGTGACTTCAGGCACTGATGCCACGTTTTGGTTTGGCCGCCCCTAACTTTCTTCCAACCATCCCCTACCCCGGTTAGCATTGCATGTCGTGGTAATCGGTGTTCAGGCATACGTAATACGTGGCCCAACCATCTCAGTCGATGAAGATTCATAACCTCTTCAACTGATTTACCATCATTCCCTAATACCCTGCGTCTAACCTCACTATTACTTACCCGGTGATCCCAGCAATATTTCTAAGGCATCTGTGGTTAAATACTAGTAACTTACGGGTGTCTTCTACTCTTAAGGGCCATGTTTCGCAGCCGTAAAGTAAAACAGAACGAACTGCCGCGCAGTATACTCGTCCTTTTATTGATAGACGGATATCTCGCCTTCGCCAAAGATGACGTAAGTTGGCAAAAGCCAAACGAGCTTTTCGAATCCGTGCTGAGATTTCGTCAGACACCAACCCATTAGGGCTAATCAGACTTCCAAGATAAGTGAACCTAATGCCTGAAGAAGAATGAGTAGCATTATTTGTATAGATGCTAGTAATAGTAGTCGAGTATATTTCAATTTTTTGTCTTTGCAGGTTGTGCAGAAAATCCCGCTTGGTCGGCTGTTATTAGAAACAGATGCTCCTTGGTGTGATATTAGAAGAACTCATGCAGGTAATGTAGAACTGACATAATTTTTTCCCTTCCTAGGATATCGTTTTGTTAAGACACACCACACTTATCGCAAGCATAATTCGTGGGATGAATCCTACATGGTCAAAGGACGCAATGAACCTGCTAACCTTGTCCAAGTTCTGGAAGTTGTTTCTGCTGTGAAAGGAGTAAGCGAGGAAGAACTAGCTGAAATAACATATCAAAATTCAATTGATTTATTTTCTTTGCCAATATAAAGCTTTATAAAAATTAAATTCTAGTAAGGAGAGCCAGTTTTGATAGACTTCAGCATTTTTAGCTATGCGCCAAACGTTGCTGCGCGTTTCTGGGTCACTAAAAGTACTTACATATTCGTGTTAGCGCTGATCAAAATAAAAGGAAAAAATGAACTCTAGTTTTTGCAAAAATGTGTTAAAGTAAGCTGATAGAGGCAGCTTTGAAATAAGACGGAAACATACCTCGCCTTTTCAATTCTACAGACCAGTCACCTAGCGTACATTAGAAACTAACATCTATGATTTCCGAATATATATCACAAAGGTGTACAGATCTAAAGTCATAGCTTGTTTTTCTACTTTATAATTGCCAACGTTTTGTAACTAATTTTAAAAAAATCGGTATTCGTAGTGTTCAGCAACTAATGTTTGTGACCCTCCTTATCTTCAATTCATAGTTATCTTTTTGTAACCTTTTACATTTAAATATATTTCACTAACAATCATTGTATTATTGTTATATGGCCACCTTCAATCAGTTCTTACTCTCATTTATGGTGACCTTCATTCCATTAGAACTCCTCATCTTGTAGTTGTGACTTTAAAATTTAGTATATGTCAGTCTGAACTTCATTTACTTATTCATGAATAATATGTTTTACATATCACAAACTCCACTCATTGTATACATTAACGGTGAACTACAAAACGCGTTCGTCATAGTAATTATTTCAAGTATATATAGCTTTAGAAAATGAAATTGTCAAAAAGGAAAGTACAATTTCTTCGTTAAAATATTTGCTTTCATAATTGGCACTTAGGTTGACAATTTGATCGAAAAAGGCTGACCATGAATGACAGTAAATCAATATCTCGCTATATCAGACGATTTACCTGTCCAATTTTGATGAGTAACTGGACAGAAGTTGAGTCATTGATAAACTTGTGAAAAACTAGAGACGTAACTGCAGCATATCCCGACGCTTGATTGTTTGAGCATCACCGAACCTATTAAAAGCTAATGGATGTATTGCTTCAAATATTTCCTTTCGATTCTCCAGACGTTTTTAATAGAGGTGTAGTAACCTCTCATATTTTTCATTGCTACGCGAATCCATTCCTGTTTGGAGAAACACAGGATCAGACAATCATGTGACCATTAGATGTCATCCTACTAATAATTATACAATGCTTTCTTATACTTAGTTATGACCTATAGTTGTAAATTTCTTAGATGTGTGCCTGTCCATTTACTGCTTTAAATAGATAGCTACATAACTTGAGCCACTAATTAACGTGGTAACTGATTTCCTGATCAATCCAAATATCACACAATTTAGCTGCAAATTAGGGCCTACATACCACACGATTCATTAGCATTCGTCTTTTTTACCGATAGTTTGTATGCCTATTTACATTTATTGGATAAAAATATGACTCAACACAGTTCGCGTTGTTACATCAACTTATTACAAAATGGGATATCTAAGAAAACAAGCACAATTAAATGAGATCAATAATCGGAGTCAGATAAAGGTTTACAGAACGATTATTTCAAAGGAAACTTTTATCTGAAGTCAGCAGAATAGTTTAGTGAGGTTGCTTGAATGTATCAATCCTCCTCAACATTTAGTATTTGAAAGTAACCGTAAATGAAGTTTGATAACTGCTCATCCGCTCTAGATAAGAAACATGAACGTTATAACACCGTGTACAGTAGTCTGTTGGATATCGTTTTCCACATGTAATTAAGTCATAGCAACTTCTACTTTTTTTACTGGTCGTGAATCGCAGCTGTTGAAGCGATTCCCTCAGCACTAATAAGTGGGAGGAATCCCTGGTCTTCGGGTCGCCTAGTTAACATGTTAGTCGATTTTGTAGTTTGTTAACTAGTCGCACGTTAAAACCAAATTACTATAACCCTTAAGTTAGCTATCTTGCAAACGTGCTCAGGATTTATTTTCAGTCGGATTTAGTTCTTATTCATGTAGTTTCTATGTTCAAGCACTTGAAGTCTACATAAGAGCTCCAAAGTAGCCGCCTACCTCCAGATCCTGTCTTTCTTTGATAAACAATAAAAGACAAGTCCTTATTTTGCGAAAAATCCGAGACTATTATGTCGAATGCTCATGTGAACTACAGTTCAGATGATTCCCAACAATTTTTGGGTCGGAAGCTTCGAATTTCGCTGTTTCTACATTAAATTAACTGATTATCATGACTGTCAAACGTTTTGGAGCAGGTTTGAGATGTGAACACTAGCAAGACTAAGGTGTGACTAATTATTTAAAATCTGCCCAGAGAGTTAAGTTAATATACTCACATTTCAGCATTGTGAACAACCAGAGCTAGAATGTCAACTATTGCGGTGTAAGTCTAAACCCTGTTTCAATTTGGACAGCAGAATGACACCACCAACCTTTACATAAGGCCGAGTACAGGGACTCTACTTAACTACTCATTTTTGTTGTTTTACAATATTACGCTGAGACGTTAAAGCACACAAATCAAATGATCACTCATATTCAAAGCTTACGATATCTGTACTTAAGGCTACTGACCATAGCTAAACTTCATATTTTATACTCCACCCCATCCCTGTATCAACACATTGTAACAGGTCAGTTAACCACTGGATGGTGCACAGACGCAGCAATGGGTGACACCAAGTTGGTAAAGAAAGTTCAATATTTTGGCTAACAGCGCGATCCACAGAGCGTGTCTCGTCCTATATCTCAACAGACAACTATCAAGTGCAGATCAGGATATACCGCGAGAAAAATAGAAACTAGTATTGTTTGCGAGAAGTAATATGTTATTGATAAGCTTCTGAATATTAAGGTAGCACAGCATTTTGTCCGGAAATAAGTATATAAGTTAGAAATTAAATATCATTAAGTGATTTTATCACTATATCAATTGACTTCAGCATTGTGTGCCAATAAGCATAGAAACTAATACTGGGTAATTGAAGAATGTAAATCTAACTAGGATGTTTAGATAGTGTATAAGGCAACAGTACAAACAAGAAAACAATAGGAGGTATGATTGTGTATTTATAAACTGTCATCTAGGAGCGCATGAAATAATGAATTAATGTACAACAATGTTATGAATTCTCACCACCTGGAGACTTTGTTTCTTGTAGAGTAGATGGGAACCATGAAGGTCTAGAACCAGGAACTTTGACTTCTGCATTGCTAACAGATGCGTTAGTGCTGTTATCATCATTATAAATAAATTTCACTTCGTGATCACTTGGAAGTTGACCATTGACAAGTGAACGTAAAAAGTTAGTTTCCTCACGTACTTTGCTATAACAGTTGGCTAAAAAGTTGAGTCAAAAACAGGATGAAGAGAGAAACATAGTATTCTTTTACCTCTCGGTAAAGATTTTACAGTGGTAGAAAACTAACCTAATGAATGTGAATAAAAGCCGATCCTGGTCTTATAAATCATTTGCAGTTCGCACGGATACAGAGGGCTCGACTAGCTTTGACCAACTCGCGTCATTTATGACGTAGGCGAGATATCCGTCTACCAACCAAAGGACGGGTTTACTGCGCAGCAGTTCGTTCCGTCCTACTTTATGGCTGTGAAACATGGCCGGTAAGAGTAGAGGATATCCATAGATAACTAGTATTCGATCACAGGCGTCCTTGAGGTACTGCTCGTATATCCTGGGACCATCAAGTAAAAATGCAGTTGTTAGGGAACGGGTACTAGGTAAGGATGGCAAATCCATTGATGAAACTTCATCAGTTGAGATGGCTGGGACACGTGTTACGTATGCCCAACCACCGACTGCCTTGACGTGCTATGTTCAGTGGTATAGGAGTAGGTTGGAAGAAAGTTAGGGGCGGCCAGACCAAAATATGGCACAAGTTCATGAAATCACTGACAAGTGGACTGTGTCATGTTGGTAGGTGTAGACTATCTGGTTCGGATCCACGAGACGATAGCGACAAATGGTTAGAGACCTTGAATGTCATGGTTCAAAATCGTTTGCAATGGTGCAGGTGCATCCACTGTTTGTGTTCTCTCGAATTCTAATCTTCTGAATTCTTCATGTCCCTTATTTTCTTTCTAAATTTATTTCGCTGGATTACACTTCTTGAATAACATCTTTAAACCCTAATGTTCCCGATTGCTGATTATACTTTTACTACGTCTACCACTATGGGATTTGAATTAACAATTGTATTTCTGTGCTAATGTGGTATGGCAATTTGAACTGATGTATGTACGCACGCAGTTCTACGTTGTTGACTGACCATCATATGAAGCGAAGTAATGTACATTTTATGCTATATGCCCTAACCAAATCGCTTTTAGTGAACAGTATTCTTCTGAATGCTATCCAGAAGGACAATGAGAGCTTCATGACCAAACAATTCAGCTTGGAAGAACACCACTGGTTTTTTAGCCATTTCAAAACCTCGTCCATAAATTAGGCGAGACTAATTTATGGACGAGCCAATCAGAAGCTACAAGAGATGAGACTACTAATAAGTTCCTGTACCTGTGACTGCAGTACAGTGTGCAGACTATCATGATGAGATTGTATTTCGTTGTTCTTTATGTTGGAGAAAAAACTCTGCTCGAACGGGGACGTTCTTCTCTCGATCGCGACTGAGACTGAGACAAATCATGATAATAGTTGCAAATTGGATTATAAAGTCACTAGTAACACCGGATGCGGCGTTTGCAGATGTTACTGAAACTTCAGCCGTCCAGTGATGAGTATTGTCGTGATATATGTGCACTTAAAATGACGTCTACACGAATCATTCGGAGTAGGAAGTATTGTGGAAATAGATGGAACAGTAGTGCGACAGCGAAAATACAACAGGGGACGTAGTATCAAGGAAGATTGGGTAAGTAGCACTTTCGTAAATGTACTTGACAGGTACTTGGAATTTATGATCGCTCAACGCAAAAGAAGCATTTCTAGAGGGCGATAAACCGTCAAGCAAGCACAATAATACCAATTATAAAGGAATACGTGCAGCCGGGCACTACGGTATATACAGATGATTGGAGAGTGTATAGATGCCTTCATACACTTGGTTATGTTTATCATGTCGCAGTGCATAAATGCCATTCTGGCGACCCTACTACCGGCATTCATACTAACAACACTGAAGTCATGTGGTCGATATTGAAGGAATTTCTAAGACAGCACAACGGCTCCAGAGGATGACTATTATGGGGGCGAATGGACGAGTTCCTATATCGTATGCATTATGATTTCAGAACATCTGTACCTTTATCAAACCTTACACGTTTTTAAATCATGTCAAAGAAGAATATCCACTGTAATTCATTAGGTTCTTATAATATATTTTTACTTTATACTGTCTTCTGATTGTCTAATAATTGTCAAGGTCACCTAAGATTCGTTCAAGGACCGTCCATATATTAGTCTCGCCGTAAAGTCAGTAAAAGTAATTTTCAAGAATTATGGACCTCTAAGGATTTTGGGAAAATTCTGGGAGAAAACCCAAAACCAGTAAGAACTCCGGGATTTTCAGTTAGCAATTCATAGCATTTTCCTCATGTGAACGAAAAGTTCGGGTGCATTGAGTGGTTGTTTCGGAAAAGATTCCAGCTTCGGAAAATTTTGATGTATTGGTTTCATTTTCCCAAAACTTTTGATGAACTGTCCTATAGTTTACCTTCAACTGATTCCAAGGTAGGAGCCTACCTGAGCTTCCAATTTTGGGGAAACTCCCGAAGTCAAATGACCTTCACATATGTTTGGGGAACTTTGGGGAAATCCCCAAATTCAAATGACCACGACCAAGGTTAAAGGAGAATTTAGGGGATTTCCCTAGGTCTGGCGAAATTTTGGGATTTTTGTGCGATTTCTCCCTAAAATTTACTATAGCGGCTTCCCCAGAACTGGGAGCACGCGAAAGGTCTTAATGTGGACGGATATGGGTAAGGAAAACAATTAGGTTTTCGAAGCACTGGAAAAATAAAAACTCATCACACAACTTACTGCATAGAAAGTTTCGAGGGTTTAGGTAACCACAGAATTTACATGGTGTCAAATCGTCTCTAGCTTTGTAATCTCCAGATCTCACTACAAATGTCATGTAAAACGACAATGGAAACCTACAAGAAAGAAATTTTCGCATTCGCCGTTCTTCTGCCGTCCTACGTTTCTTAGGCACAGCGAAGTAAATTGACTCTTCCCATAATTTAAGTGATCCGAAAAAAGGTGAACGGTATAACGCTGCCGTATCTGCAGCTAAAACAAAAGGCTTGACTGAATGTGTTATACAATGACGAATAGATTTACCTCGACCAAAGAAATCTAAAATAATGGACTTCAAAGCATGGTAAATTTGAGCCATGACCTTGAGCGTCAATTATGCGCCTTTGACCCGTGCTTTCGAAGATTTCAGATTTCAGATTTCAGATTTGTGTAGTAAGGACAGAAGGCCTACGGCCTATGTTATTCCTTTTCTAGTATGCTTCTGTGAGTGTCCAGTCTTCTCTTGAAAGAGTCAATTGAAGGTGCGGATACCACTGCTTCAGGCAGCAGGTTCCAAGTATTGATGACTCGGTGTGAAAACCTGTATGCCAGGGGTATTTTGTTCGTTCTTGGCTTTTCTACTCGCCTGCTATGTCCTCTGAGGTGTCCCGATCTAGTGGGAAGGAAGAGAGAGAATAAGTTAGGTCCGAAATCATTTCTCAGCATTCTGTACATCAAAATAAGATCTCCCCTTAGTCTGCGATAGGACAGAGTAAAGAGGTTCAGTTTTTCAAGCCGCTCTTTATATGATAAACCCCGGAGTTCCGGAATTGCACGCGTAGCTGCCCTCTGTACCTTTTCTAGTATGTCTGAGTCACCTTTTAAACAGGGGCTTGCAGCCTGAACACAGTTCTCTAACTTAGTTCTCACTAAGGATGTGTATAATGTGGTGAACATGGTAGTATCAAGCTTAGTGAATGTCCTTTTTAAAGCCCAGAGGGTTCGAAACTCCTTAACTGCGACCTCCCGGCATTGGGCCGTCGTCTTAAGATCATTGCTCACTGTCACCCCTAGGTCCTTATGAGACCGGACTACGGGTAATGACAAATCCCCTATGTTGTACGTATTACCCTTGGAATCCCCCAAGTGCATGTAGACACACTTTTCCGAGTTGATAGGCATTAGCCACTCTTTAGACCAGTTTATCATATTATTTAAGTCCGCCTGAAGAGTAAATGCGTCTTTGTCTCCAGTTATTACTCGCCAAATTTTTACATCGTCAGCGTATAATAACATTGGAGACTGTACTATACTTGTAAGATCATTAACGTACATTATAAAAAGTAAAGGACCTAGGACGGAGCCTTGGGGTACTCCACTAAGTACTGGTCTCCAGATGGAGCACTTGGAATTTATTCTTACTTTTTGCCTACGACCTACTAGGAAATCCTTAATCCATTTTAAAAGAGGTCCGGCAATACCAAGGTTTGCCAACTTCAATAGCAGTCTATTAGTTGGCACCTTGTCAAAAGCCTTACTGAAGTCTATGTAGACAACATCCACTGAGTTTCCGTTGTCTAGCGCATTAATCCAGAGCTCCCTAGCTATAAGGATGTTCGTTGTACAGGATAGACCCTTTCTAAAACCATGTTGTGCCATGTTAAGCAAGTTATTGGTTTCCATAAATGCTGTTATGGTCCGTTTGATTATCCTTTCCAGTATTTTAATTACAACACTGGTGAGGCTTACGGGTCTGTAATTTGATGGAACTTGTCGTAGACCTGTTTTATGTATGGGAGTGACGATTGCGTCCTTCCAGTCCATAGGTAACACACCTTGATCAAGTGACATTTTGAATATCACAGTCAGTGGGGCTGCGATATATTCGGCAATATGTCTCAAGATTTTAGGGTGTAGTTCATCTGGTCCTGTTGACTTCTCCATGTTTAGTGTGCTAAGAGCCTTAAGCACATCGTTTTGGTCGAAGTTCACGGTGAGCATCTGGTTTGTTGACTCTGTAATTGGGTCTGGTTCTTCCTCTAGAGGAGGTTCCTGAGTGAAAACTGCCCCAAAATAGTCAGCCATAACCTCAGCTTTTTCCTGATCTTCCTCTATCATTTCAGATTCACTTCCTACTTTAATTAGGTTGGGAATCTAATGATGAATCCTTGTTCTGTAGTTTATGTACGAGAATATCCTCTTGGGATGCTTGAGTGCAGATTGTGCCAGCTGCATTTCATATTATCTTTGCACTTCCCGAATTTTAGTTATACACTCGTTTCTTATCGATCTGTAGCGTTCCATCGTACCTGCTGTGCCAAGGCGGATGGCACCATCCCAGCATTTCTTCTTTTGTCTTAGTAAGCATCGAATATCCCGCCCTATCCAGGGATGTCCGTGCTTCTTTTTCTTTGGGACAGTCCAGGGTATGTATGGTTGAGTTACCCGATTGTATAACTGCCTGAATAGAGTCCATGCTTCTTGTACTGATGCCTTTGAGTCAATTTCCCAGTTCTCAGCCGATGCTGCGGAGTTAATTGCCTGCATGCTAGTCCAATCGAGGTTTCTAACAGTTTGGAGTCGAACAAAGATATAGATGACTCTACTTCTAAGTTAACCCAGTTTATATATGGTGCATTAAAGTCGCCTACTACAAGGCTTTTACCGTTGTTACACCAGGACTTAAGTTTACTGAGGAGAAAATCATCTGCTACACATTCTGGACTGCGGTAAACTACAACTAATTCAACTTACATCTCACCACTTCGAATGCATGAGATTTCAGATTTCTGCTTAACTTATATAGGTTTAGCCTTCAGTAACAAAAACTGAAAATCTATCAGCCAGTAACACCATGTAGGTCAAATCTTGTTTTGAAGATGTCAACACTGAAGCGCGCTGTTCAGAAAAGTGAGTAGTTTTTATAAAATCGATCGGTAAATTACTACTGTTTTTGCTGTAATTTAATTATTTTAATAAAGTTATTACTCAGAAGTCCAGTTTTCGCCCAAGTGAAGTTTGTCATCTGTACTTTGCGAGTACAGATATATAAACTCAAGTCACTGGTACTTAGTCATCGTTGTTGAATATATCTTTGAGCATTGTTTGTATCCATATGTGTTAAAATCTTTCTGTATTTTCTGAACTCTGATTTTTTGTGATATCTTTTTTTTACACAGAAACATAAAAACTTCTATGGTTCATTTGAGACATTGTAGCGGTAAATAAATCCCCAAAATAAATTGCTCTGTAAGTTTTCAGCATTGGATGTTGACAACATTAGTTTTAATGGACTCACCTAGCTGAATGTGCTGTGCCATGCATCTGTACCAGATCACGTGTGGAAACGCCGTGCTCAACAACCCCTGCAATCACTAGTCAGATTTGATCAGACGATTCTCGATATATAGCCTATCAAATAAATCTTCGAAACTCCCCGCTTCTGTCTTTTGATTTCAATTGGTGGATACGCTTCATGTTAGAATGTGCTACCGGTTTAAGCGTTGTCAAAACCCGAATACATGTGGCATCTTCAACATAATTGTGGTAGACCAGCATGCTTTTTCCGGGCAAATGAGGGGATTCAATGTGATAGCTGCAATAACTGGTACCACATTGAGTGCGATTGGCTCACACCGGCTGCCTATAAATGGTTCTGCAAGCTATTATCACGTCGGCTTTGCAAAGATGTTGTTGTACTAAGTTTCTGCAGATGCTAGAGGCGATCAAGCTGCCGAACATAGCTAAGGAATCGCCCTTCGAGAAACAGGCAGCAGCAGATGATCAGGACTCCGCTTTCGAGGAAATTGAGAGAGTTATTATGAGCCCGGCTGTAAACTTAAATGAGACCATAAAGGTGGACCTCATCAGGAAAACGGATAATGATATGGATCTAGGCATTGTTACACGGAGAAAGAAGCGCGCTGAGAAGAAACTACCTATAGACAGTAGTGAGGCATGTGAATATACGAGTTCAGTCCCGGATTTACATATCAATGTAATACAAACTATATGGTAGAAAAATTTGAGCAGTGCAGAGGAAGTGATCAAGAAACAAAACAAGGTGGATGAGTAACTCACAGTCAAACCTAGGAAAAAGAAAGTAAGAAAACAGAACGTAACCTCTGCGTTTAACGCTGAAATGAAATCGGAAAGCAAGGAAGAGATGGGTTCAGTAACTAAAATTCCACAGCGTGTCAAGACAGACCTCGCTGAGAGGTCAGTCTTGTCTTATAAGTCAAAAGAGTCTTCCGATAAGGAACCATAGGCTAGATTTGAGCGCGACCTCAGTTATATTGAATCGTTAATAAGCAAGCAACTCCCAGATGCAGTTTCAGGGGTTAGTATAGCTTTATAGAATAGGGCAAAAGTTAGTTTCTGAAAGTCTTAAGTAAAACCACCTCTTGAAGGTTACATTTGCCACTGCTGAAGAAAGGAACCTGATTCTAGGCAACTCACTTAATCTGATTGGATCCAGAGTATACATCCGTGAGGATCTCAGCCTAGCTGATCGTATTAAGAGACGAGCTGAAGAAATGGAAATAAACGAGCGTCGCCAAAACGGTGGAAGAAACCTCTTTCTTAAGGTTTTCAAATTGTAAAAGTTCGATTGAAAAAATATGAAAATATTGGACAGAGGAAATCCCAAAAACACTAGAGAATTTTTAGAAACCTTGCACTCAGGTGAATCAGCAATAAACAAGCACATTGAAATCCATCCTGTTTATCAGCCAATCAGGAAAGTAATGCACAAACATAGGAACGAAAATCAAACCAATGGGAGACACAACCGAAACAAAGGAGTAAACAGTGGCAAATTTAAGATCAGTAGGAACCAATCAACATCGAGGTGTACAGAACAAGCTGTAAAACGCACATGGACATCTGACTCATAAAAGAAACTTTTAAACTATCTGATTTGCTTGTAACAATGACCTACTAGAGACAGTGTATTCCAACTATGGGCTTTGATTAAAGCAGTATTCATACTTGCCACAAACGTAAGAGAGCCTAACATTACAAAAGGAGGGAGGGTGGCGTTACTGACCAGTAAACATGATGGTGGGTAGATAACTTCAATTCACCCATATCTGTAGGGCAGAACATTTTGTTCAATTACGGCTCCTTATGGCTTAGTGGGATGTCACGAACTTAAGATATTAATGCTGATTTATCATGCAAACTACCTCATTTAATCGTGTTACGGACGTTGAATTGGTCTCGATTCCTACCCAGTAATCTTAATACAAGCAAACTAGACAATTCGATAATATACGAAGCCTACTCAAGACCCTATGATGCCTAAAAAACTAATAATAGTGATACAAAAGCTCCGATAAAAAAGGAAGATAGCCAAATGTATATCACAATACTGTTTTTAGCACTATATTTTATAATCACACAATTCCATTCTCTCA